GAGCAGGGAGCCTGATGTGGGGCTCGATCCCAGGACCCCAGGATCATGACCTGAGCCGAAGGCAGATGCTTAACGACTGAGCCACCCAGGCGCCCCAGTAATTGTTTTCTTGACAGTCAAATAATTCCACAAATTAATTTCAGGAAAATAATTCCAAGGTAATTCCAAGAAATGTGGTTTGTCCCTGAGGTGGACGAATGTCTTCAAGTTGACAAAACACCCTACTCAGCACATGGATGAGTGACATCAGGAAGAATGCTGAATCTCTGAGACGTGCAACCGTATCTGCTCCAGGTCACAAGCACCTGCACGTTCGCAAAGCTGTATTTCTGTGTGAGTCATCCCAAGAAAGGGGCTCCCTGTGCAGAAGGACGTGCACCAGGAGCATGGGAACACCGGCCAGGAGGGGTGTGGGGACCTACATGACCTGTTGTAGGGACTCACGGCCAGACACACAGTTTGAGCAGAGGGCTCAGGCGCTGAGAGCTCAGGGCCGTGCAGAACTTCCTGCCTAAGCACAGCCTCTGATCCACGGGGCAGATGCACCCTGCAGAGGCCTGGCTCCGCACCTATTCCTGGGGACAGCGCGGGGGGCAGCACATTTCTTCCAGCCCACCAGTATGCTTTTCAGACTGCAAGCATACGCTTAATTGTAAGTTAAAACCTTCAAGAAATGCACCTGTTAAGTGAATCCTTACAAGGTGATAGATGGGAGGGAGACCCTGAGACCCCCTTGAATGTGAGAACTCCAGCTTAAAAACACACACTGAGAGAATTTGACTCCACAAAGCCCACCGACAAAACAGACATACAAGTTTTTAAAGTTACCTGTTAACACTGACGAGTTGTAGATTAATGATCCCATATGATGATCCCAAACCTTTGGAAAGACACATGTTTCTTTAGAAGAGATATAAATTTTTTTCTGATCTACATTCCTGATGTAGCTTGAACTAATACTTCGACTCGGTTACAAATTAATTCGTGTGAATGGTTACCTAAAGGAGAAAATAATAAAACAGGTATATAAATAATAAAACTGTAGAAACACAATAAAAGATTTCAGAATCATATGGGGAAAAGCTAGCATTTCCAGAAGTAAGGATCTATGGGTTTGGAAGACCCAAGCCAGGGCTGCAGACATCCCCACAGCAATCGACACTGCCTGGGGGAGGTGCGCGGCCACAGTCACTGCCCTCTACTGCCAAGGGCGAGGGCCTGTTTCCGGACACGCTCCGGCGCTTTCCAAACTCAGCTCCCATCTCAAAATCCCCATGAGACGGCGGGCACCCTCACTTCCATCCAGGCTCAGCTCATCTGTCTGCAGCAGCTGGAGGGGCTGGGGCTGGGCCCGAGCAAGGGAAGAAGCAGACATTTCCAGATGACCGAGGAAGTGTTCCAGTCTCTCTCCTCTCCCACCCTGCCAGTGGGTGTAAACCACCCATAACTCTTCTTCCAATAATGCTGCACAAGTCCTCACTTGGTCAATAGGATAAAAATCCTAATGCTAGCTGACTGGGAGCTGGATGGGAACGGAGCTGGCATTTTAAATTAGTTTCTTCTTGGGGCGCCTGGGTGGCTCAGTCGGGGGTGCCTGGGTGGCTCAGTCGTTAAGCGTCTGCCTTCGGCTCAGGTCATGATCCCAGGGTCCTGGGATCGAGCCCCGCATCTGGCTCCCTGCTCAGCAGAGAGCCTGCTCAGCAGAGAAGCTGCTTCTTCCTTTCCCTCTGCCTGCCGTTCTGCCTACTTGTGCTCTCTATCTCTCTGTCAAATAAATAAATTAAAAAAAAAAAAAAATCTTTAAATAAATAAATAAATTAGTTTCTTCTTAAGCTCAATTTAGTTCTGATTGAATCCTCTGATATTGGGAAATGGCTCTTCTGCTCTGGGCCCCCAGGAAACACTGCGGAGTAAATTAATGTTCTAGCTCCCCAAGGCCCTGGATTTAAGGAGGAGAGTCCCGCGGCTGACCCAAGCCCACCTGGGAATGTTGGGACACGCCCAGCTGACACCTCTGGCCAAGTTCAGGACAGAAGTGTGGTAGAAATAAAATCATAGGTATGCGGTGACCGCAGACCAGAAAGGCCTGCTCAACTGTGTCCACAGTCCTCTGAAAAGCACCTAACGCACTCCAGTGTCCACGCCCTTACCTTAAAGCTTCTGTCTTCAGACACTGAGATGATGAGATGTGTTTGCCACGGAGGTTTGTCAGCTGCAGTCATGGCGCCCCGGTGACCCTCCAGCTCAGCTAGTGTAGACTGCCTCTGGGAAAATTTGTGAAGGAAGATCAATAACTGAATGTTCTGGTAACTCTTGTTATTAAGAAGCTATATACATCTCACAGAAAACAGTTTCTGTTAAGCTCTACTTTATGTAACTCCCTTTTCCACATGTGAAACTACCTGTATCTAAACCTAGAAGTTAAAATTCAGATGGCTGAGCTGGGAGGGGGCATCAGCTGCCCAGGGCCACGTGCACGGCAGTTTTAGAAACAGCGACGACGTGATGCGGGTCCTGAGCAGTTCCACACAGCAGGCAGGCCGATCTTCCCGCCCACACCCTGTGTGCAGCCCTGAGGCCACTCTTTGCTGCGGGACTGCCCAGAACATCTCTGCAGGGGTGGGCAGAGCATCCTAAGATCAAACAGGACAGTGTGTTCCTACTACTAATGAGCTATCCTTCCTCCAAAACCCTTGAAACCTACTCTAGCCAGGAAGCCCCAGAAGACAGTGTTGTGAGCCAGAATCACACAGCACAGATTCAGTGACCAGTCACCCCAGCAGATGTCCCTGTGGGACTCCAGGCAACTGGGATCAGGCCTGCTCTTCAACCCTGCGGCCTCCAGTCAGACAAGATAAATAGCCCCTCATACACATGCAGGAAATATACACATATCTGTATCGACACAGCAACTTAACTAAGGAGTGAGCGCTTAACCCTGGAAGACTTCCAATAATGTAACCTGAAACCCTCGACAAGCTAGCTTATGTCTCTTATCACCAGAAGATTAAAAATAAAAGGTGGACTAATACTTCGTCATAATGTGCACAAGAACAGGGATACTCTCCAGGTTGGATGTTAGGAAATGCACGTTTCTACTCCCTCCAATGTCTGTAATATGAGATAGTCCTTGTCTATTAATAGCATTGTATCCTGGAAAACCCCTTGTTTCCTTTCGGCATTTATGGTCATGTGTTACATTAGTTTAAGTGTTCTGTATTCATTTAAAGTCTTAAGTTCATCAACTGGTCACTTCCTAGTGCTCTGTGGAAAGCACTACACTTCACCAACATGCTGGCAGCCCACGTGCGTCCAGCTACTTTCCCCCGGTAAATCTCACAAGCCTGCTAAGAAGTGTGCGAAGAGTGACAGGCCAGCCATACACGGTCTGGAACAAACACCTGCCACCTCATTTCCTGTCTGCATGGCTGAGGCCTGACTCGGGTCCGCAATCTTCTCTTTCCAGGACATCTCATCTTCCTTCTGATGCTGACGGTGCTTGGTGTCCTCCTGGCTCATCTGTGTTCCTTCTCCCAGCATGAGGCTGGTGAGCTTTGCTACATGTGGTGGGTGCCTTCATGGAATCACTGAATCCCAGGACATTTCCCATCATCTGTGACTTCACTTACAACGTTAGCATTTTGTTATGTGTGAGCCTCAGTTGCATAATTTGGCCAAAAACTGCATGAACACAGAAATGTACGCTCTGCCCCAAACTGCCTAGCGCACAGTAAGCCCACCATCAATTAATCCTCGATTAAGATTTTATGCCTAACACTCTCCCTAACCCAGATTTTTCCTAAGTAGATATAGCAGAAAATTCCTCATAGGCAAATAGCTTTGTTAACCGCATTCACTTGGCAAACATAAGCCAAGGCCAGGCCTTGTATGATCTGTCTCCAAAATAAGTCTCAAGCAGAACATGAATTCTGAGCAAACAGGAGGCCTCCCTCACACCCCCAGCCCCACTCCTGCTCTCTCATGCCTGGCTGAGCCTAACGGGCTCCTGTTTCCTAGTCAGATGTGAGATTTAGAAGTCGCAGAGCCTGGAAGAGGAGACGCATATACTCAGACCAACTCCAGTTAAGACATAAGTGAGAAAAGTACAGTTCTTGACAGAAAGCAAGCTTAGAAAAAAGAGATAAACAAAAGCACTGTGCTGGGAGGGCTTGGAGAGATCACCAAAGGAGGAGAAATCAGAGAAATAAATGTTGACTGAACACGCTTGCTTAGCATCCTGATAGTCTGACTTCATGGACCGGTGTCATGATTGATATAGAACAGCACTATCTGATTGATATAGAACAGCGGCTTTCCAAGTGCAAGATAAAGATATGTCTTCCTTCATTGCCCAGTTAAAAGTACTGCTGATGAGAGGCAGGCGGGGCCCCGCTCAACTGCTAATGGGCAGGCATTGAACCTTACCTCAGTATCCAGCATAAATATTTTCTTTCCAGCACACACTGCAGCCGTGCGGTCATCTGGGCTCAACCTCAAACACAGCACCTTTCCCAGGAGGGTACCCACGACAACCCCTTGAGGAGTCAGCCCTAGACGGAGTTTCAGAGTTAGTGTCAGGTTTTCAGCAGGAGTCAACAACCTTAGCATAACTGCAACAAGCCACAGGGAGGCACTGATAATGTAGCTCTCTCCTCTAAAATCACATGCAGAACAACAACGAGCTTGGATGTGACTTTGGCCCCTTGAGAGTATTAAAAACATCAAGTATAAACGGTTCTTCTGGAAGTATGTGGAACGCAGGGATCATGCATCAGAAAATGACTCAGTGTCGTCACAGATAATGGGTCTCTGGGAAGGCTGCATGTGCATACACGTGGGGGTCATACAGAATCACCCACAGTCCCGATCCTTCCTCCTCCGTGACCAGGCCAGTGAGCTGCTCGGGCTCATGTCAGACAGGCAGAAGGCACAGGGTGCCCATCTGAGCCTCTGGGGCCTCTCTACTCCTATGAGGATGTCTCCCGGCAGGCCTGCACGTCCAAGGTGACAACATGAGCCAATCCGCAGCCTCAAGCAGGGTCCCTCAACCAACCCACCACCATGCAGCAGGACTCAGCGCCATTGTGGTTGGGCCCTGTCCAGCAAGGCCATGTCACCAGCGAGACCTCGAACTACAGAAGGGGAGATGTGCACATATCACTGGAATTCTATCTTGGCTAAAATCCCATGGTCTCCTTGCATGAATATTCACCAAGCACCTGTGTTACCCCAGGCATCTCCCTGGGCACCCGGGACAGATAGTGAACAAAGAGACAAAGTCCTGCCTTTGTGGAAGGCTTACTTGGGGTAGGGGGTAGGGGCATTTAGACACCGATAAACAGAGTAAGTAAACAAGTTATGTACAACGCTAGAAGGAAGTTATGAACAACGAAAGTAAAAGCAAAGCACAAAAAGGGACCGGGGTCCAGGGTGGTGGTCAGAAGGGCCCACAGCAATGGAGACACTTAAGTAGACCCTGAAGGATGTGGCAGAATCCACTGTGATCCTGAGATGGAGCAGCAGATGCAAAGGCCCGGGGGCAGGACTAGGCCTGGGCTGTTCCTTGAGACTGGGGCTTTGGCTGGGGGTCCCATAGCTTTGTCAGTCCCTAGTCTGCATGAGGTAGGAAGGCACTGGAGGGTTTTGGGCAGAAGGGTAGCATACTCAGACTCCAATTTTCCAGGGACCCCTGGCTGTTGAGTTGAGAGCAGAGCACTGGGCAAGGTGAGCAGGAGGACCCAATGCAATTACCCTGCTGAGTGATTCCAGCGGCCTGGACTGCAGGGCAACAGTGAAGACAGGTGTGAGGAGTGTCCAGAGTTTGGTTCCATTTTGCAGGGAAAGCAGACGGAACCTGGGGTCGGTTGGATGTGGAGGTGTGGAGGGAGGCTGAAGCACAGTGCTATGGTTTCTGACCTGAGCTGCTGTGGGGAGGTGGGAGGCAGGTGAGGGAAACGCGACCAGGACAGGTAAACCTGAAGTGCTATCAGACATGCGCGTGGAGATGTCCAGGTGCAGTTCACACGTGAGACCACAGTCAGGAGGGAGGAGTCAGTGAGACCAGACGTGGCAGCTGTCAGAGCCTGGGGTCATCACCAAAGGAGTGGTTTTTGAGGGGAAAGAAAACAAGCCCATATCCCAGTGTGAAAGGTGGGAGAATGACATGGAGCCAGCAAAGGAGACTGGGGACAAGTGACGAACGACAGCCCCGGGTCACAGTCCATTTTCCAGTCCAAGTGCAAACACAATCATATTGGACACGAAGGTGCTATAATCCAGCACACCTGCCCACCTAGGGCACGGAAACCAAGCCGGGCGGTGCTACGTCCCGCCCAGGCCCCTGCGGCTCCCCTGGAGCCTTCTGTAGTCCCACTGCTGGAGCTCTGGGACGCAGGACAGCTGGGGCACAGAACGCTGAGCCCCACAAGGGCGCCAGACTGTGCCTCGGGGCCAGCTTCAACCCGCCCATGGACTAGACCACATGCATCCAAGTCCACACGAGTCCTCTCTACCCCATCCTCATAGGGGTAGAGAGGCCCCAGAGGCTCAGAAGGTTGCAGCCCCTTCCCACAGGGAAGGCTGCTTATTTACAAAGACCTTCGCGGGGAGCAGGAAACGAACATGTGGTTTACTGTGCATACGTACATGTGTGTGCCTGTGTCCATGTGTGCGCACGTGCATACAGCTCTGTGTACCCTTACATGCGTGTGCATGCACGCACGGAGTGTATGTGTGCACGTGTGCGCGCTATATACACACGAGGGCATACACTACACACGTGCGCTGCTAGACGCATACGTGTGTGCTGTGCACGTGTGTGCTGTGCACGTGCGGGATGCATATGTGCACGTGTGTCCACATGTGTGTGCATGTGCTGTCCTGACACTGACGCTGGACACTCAACTACAAATTAAATGAGATGAGGTGTAAACTATTCCATATGCTGCTGCCTAAGATCCCTTCACACCTGTTTTCTGGAGCAATCCTACGAATTCTCAGTGTAACCAGTTACATAGAGCTCAAACTCCTTAATGTGGTCCTCGCCTCACTTCTCACCTTCATCTGATAAAACTCTCTAACATCACCATGCTCCCACCCTGTGGACTCCTCCTCAGCTCGGCCGACAGGTTGAGTTCTTGACACAGACGGCCCGCGCACACACCCAGCACAGTGCCACTGTCCAGCACCAGCCCTTCCACCCAGCTCCTCCTCATCCTCCAGCTCAAAAGTCACCTCCCCAGAGATGACAGCATGGGAGTGCATCCTGCCCACATCCTCCATCGACCCCTCGCCTGCCTTCTCTACTGTGCTCCCCACAACTCATAACCACTCACTTGCCTGTCTGATGCATGTTTGCCTCCCCTCACTGTCTGTAAGGAAAGAATATTTCCACTTGCCTACATGTTTCCAGAGTTCCACAAAAATCACAGGTTTCATCAAAATGACAAAACATGTAATATTAAAACTAATGAGCCTATCATGTCAGCTTCACACACAGCAAAGGTCAGTAGATCTGAATATAAGGTATCCTTCCCCCAAAGAACATCCAGCTTGGACATCTATCTGGTTTCAAGGTTAAAGGAGTGAAAAATTCTCCCAAGCCCCCTTATGTAACCAAGTCTATTTAAGGGTGAGTTATTCCCTTTGCACATTTTCTTAAATATATTTTAACTGTTCATTTACCTTGAAGTGCTTTCTGTCTGCATTCATCTAGAGTCCACATTATAACATAATCTCGTGATGCAGAACAGATGAGAAGTGGACTCACTGCATTTCCAAATGCCACAGCAGTAATTGGCTCATGGTGTCCTCTTAGGGTCAGAGGCTGAAGAGTTAATAGAAACAAAACTATCATGAACTACAGATAATATTTAAAGAATAAAAAAGCATAACAGCATAATCTCAAACCCAAGAAATCAAATGGATTGAATTTTTCAAATATATTTATTTCATATATTCATTTATAATTCATTTATTAAAATTCCTGTTAATGTACTACTCAGTTATTCTCTCAAGTGAACCATTTCATGGTTACCCAACATTAAGAATCACACTAGTAAAATGATGCAGGTCACCTCACTCTTCCACTTACTCATTAGTTATTAATTAAGCAAATATGTATTGCGTCCTGCTACGTGCCAGAAGAATAATGGCTGTGCTGGACATTGAAGGGTAAGGCAATGACAAGGAATCCCCAAGAGGAGGGGTGCATTCGGGTCACTGGGAGACAAGGCACATGTCAGAGGCTGCTGGTGCAAGCAAGGAACACAGTGAAGTTACAGGAAGGCTGAGCGCTGTGTATGGAGTTCTGATAGTGCGCTAGGAAATGGGAAGCCAGCCGAGAAGGTACAAGCAGAAGAATCTATGACCAAACTCGTTTTCAGACTTGTAACACTGCTGCAAGTACAAAAGAGGGACCACAATGGGGACACAGAGGGACCAAACATCCCAAAGCAAGTACAGTAAAGACCTGAATGAGGGCGGCACAGATGGAGATGGGAGGAGACAGAGAACCAAAGACTCTGTGACCAGTGGGCATTGAGAGATGGGGGAAGGGACAGAAGCAAAGATAATCAGTGTTCCAGGTTGAAACCCTAGGTGAATGGTGGCATAAGAAAGGGGGAATGGAATCAGGAAAGAACATAGTTTGTCTGGGCTATGTTGAGTGAGGTACTTTTGAGCTGACAGTCAGCAGACAGTAGGCACTTTGACAGAAGAGCCATCACTCAAACACGAGAATGACAAGAGCTCTGTCTCTGGTCATGGCGGCCAGTTCATCTGTACCAAGCTCCTGATGAGAACAAGAAAGCGGGGAAAAATTTGCCAAGAACATACAGACACACTTTTAAGACATCAGAGAGCAATGAAAGCAACAAAAAATTAAGAACGGAGAAGAAGGAAACAGAGAAGGAACCCAACATGGGAGGCCATTCACCCATGAAGACTCCTGTTGAATGGCAGCTTTCTGACAATTCCAGTAAAGGCAGTTGAAACCTGAGATACTTATGGGACTAGGAGCACAAAAATGGTGTAATTAAATGCATCGTTTTCAGGCACAAACAGAACTATCTTATTGGGAAAAGGGCAAAGAATTCCACTGCCTGACAAAGTACTTCTGAGAATAGAGCCAATGGACTTAAGGTTGAGGACTCCATGCATTTTTTTTCCTTTAAAACACTACAGATGAATTTTAATAAATTTCTGCTTTAAAAAAGACATACCACCTACTAAGGTGGGAGGGAAGGGCATGTTACCAAATGCCCAGGCCTGGAGTAGTGACCCAAAGGACCAGGCCCAAGGAGGGAAGACGAACGGGCAGCAGAAGAGTGCTCACAAGCCCACCTTTGAGTTCTCATAATCCCCGATTGGATTAGAGTGACCTGGGATTGCCAGTGCCCTCAGCCAGCCAGCTATCAGAAGCAAGCATAAATTCTCTCTGCAAGAAGTTAAGATCATCCAGAGCCCCAAACTAGTTGTGCATTTTTTCACACATAATGTCTGGCAGTCAATCATTCAAGGAGTCAAGACCATTCAGTCAAAAACAAGGGAAATCTATAACCATGGAAAACACCCACCCATAGATCATCCAGATGGCCTTGAAACCAAACCAGAACTGATCCAGATTGCTGAATTACTAGATAAGGACATTAAAACAGTCATTATAATTCTATTCCATATGTTCAAAAAGTTAAATAGGGGTATAAAAAAATCAATAATTAATAACCTTCCAAAACAGAAAGCACCAGACCATGATGGATCCACTGCTCAATATTTAAGGAAGAGATTTTACTAATTCTCTAAAATCTCTTTCAGAAGACTGAAGAAAGATAACAGAGGGAAACACTACTTTCAGAAGAAGCAGAGGAAATATTTCCTTACTCATTCTATAAGACCAGGATTACCCTAATATCAAAACCAGACAAAGACATCACAAAAAAAGAAAATTAAAAACAAGTATCTTTCATGAACATAGATGCAAAACTCAACAAAATATTCAAAATATCAGCAAATCAAACCATACAATGTATTAAAAAAGTATACATCATGACCAAGTAGAATTTGGAGATTTATTCCAAGTATGCAAGGCTGGTTGAACATTTGAAACTCAGTTAATCCATCACATCAATAGGCTAAAAAAGAAAAATCACATGAAAATATCAAAAAATGTTGGGGTGCCTGGGTGGCTCAGTCAGTGAAGCATCCAACTTGATTTTGGTTCGGGTCATGGTCTCAGAATCATGAGATTGAGTCCTATGTCAGGCTCCATGCTGGGCCTGGAGCCTGCTTTAAGATTCTCTCTCTCCCTCCCTCTCCCTCTGCTCCCGCCCCCCACTCACATGTGCTTGCATTCTCTCTAATAAACAAATACACAAATAAATAGAAATAGTAGCTGCTTCACAGTACAGTTCATTTACAAAAAAAAAAAAAGTAGAAGAAAGCATTTGACAAAATCCAATAGCAATTCATGATAAAAACTATCAGTATACTAGGAATGAGGGGAACTTCCTCAACCTAATAAAGAGTATCTACAAAATACCAAAAGCTAATGTATGAAGTGGTAAGAAACTACAAGCTTTCCCACCAAGATTAGAAACAAGATGAGGACGAGGATGTCCCCTCTCACCACTCCTGTCAACATTACACTGGGAGTCTTAGCTAATATGATAACACAATAAAAGGAAAAGAAGGTATAGTGACTGAGAAAATAGAAATAAAACTGTCTTTGTTCATGGGTGACATGATCATCTAAAAATTAGTAAGTGGATTTTGAAATTAAAAACACAATACCATTTACATTAGCACTCAAACAAGTGAAATGCTTAGGTACGTATCTAACAAAATTGTGTAAGATCTCCGGGGTGCCTGGGTGGCTCAGTCGGTTAAGTGCCTGACTCAATTTTGGCTCAGATTATGGTTGTGAGATCAAGCCCTGGGTTGGGCTCCATGCTGGGCATGGAATCTGCTTAAGATCCTCTCTCTCCCTCTCCCTCTGCACCCCCCACTCACACATGCTCACTTTCTCTCTGAAAAAAAATTATGTAAGATCTCTATGAGGAAAAATAAAAGTGTTGAAAGAAATAAAAGTAAATGAATGGAGAGATATCCCATGATCATGGATAGAAAGACTCAATATTGTCAAGATGTCAGTTCTTCCCAACTTGGTCTATAGATTTAATCCAATCCCAATCAAAATCAACAAACTAATTTTAAAATGTATACAGAGGCAAAAGACCCAGAATGGCCACACAGTACTAAAGAACAACAACAAAGTTGGAAGACTGACACTACCTGCCTCCAAGACTTATTATGAAGCTACATTAATCAAGATTGTACAGTAATGGCAAAAGAAAGGACAAACAGATCAATGGGAGAAAAGACAGAGCCCAAAACAGTCAAATGAACTTTCACTAAGGAACAAAGGTGATACAATGGAGAAAACTATAAACCCCTTAAAAATAACATGGGAGAAAATCTAGATGACTTAAGTTTGGTGATGACTTTTCAGATAAGACACCAAAGGCATGATCCATGAAAGTAAGAATTGATAGCCTGGATTTCCATTAAAATTAAAAATTTCTGTTCCATCAAAGACACCATCAAGAGAATGAGGAGACAAATCACAGACTGGGAGAAAGTATTTGCATAAAACATATCTGATAGAGGACTATTTCCAAAAATAAACAAAGAACTCTTAAAGGGCAGCAATAAGAAAATAACCAAGTTAAAAAAGGAGCCAGAGGGCACCTGGGTGGCTCAGTCGTTAAGCGTCTGCCTTCGGCTCAGGTCATGATCCCAGGGTCCTGGGATCGAGCCCCGCATCGGGCTCCCTGCTCAGCGGGAAGCCTGCTTCTCCCTCTCTCATTCCCCCTGCTTGTGTTCCCTCTCTCTCTGTGCCTCTCTCTGTCAAATAAATAAATAAAATCTTTAAAAAGGAGCCAGAGACCATCACAGACACCTCACTACAGAAGACATAAGATGACAGGTGAGCAAACTCCACATCATCAGTCATCAAGGAAATACAGATGAAGACAACAATGATACCACTGCACACCCACTAGAGTGACAAAATCCAGAACACTGACAAGTCCAAATGCCGATATGGATGTGGAGCAGCAGGAATTCTCATTCACGGCTGGTGGGAATACAAAATGGTGCAGACAGTTTGGCAGTTTCTTACAAAAACAAATATTCTTTCAACATATGATCCAGCAATCATGCTCCTCAGTATTTACCCAAAGGAGCTGAAAATGTATGTCCACTCAAAAACCTGCACATGAATGTTTATAGCAGTTTTACTCATAATTGCCAAAACTTGGAAGCAGTGGGTAAATAGATAAACTTGCTGCATCCAGACAATGGGATATTGTTCCGTGTTAAAAAGAAATGAGCCATCAAACCATGAAAAGACATAGAGGAACCTTCCATGCATATCACTAAGTGATCCCACCTGCATGTGATCCTACCTGTGTGGGATCCCACCTACATGACCCTGTGGAAAAGGCAGAGCTGTGGGGACAGTGAAAAGTCAGCTGTTGCCAGGGTTGGGGTTGGGGGAGGGGGGGCTAAGGGGGCAGAGCACAGGGTTTTAGGGCAGTGAAAATTCTCGGCCTGATATGGTAATAGTGGACACCTGTCATTCTACATTTGTCTAAACCCACAGAATGCACACCAGGAGTGACCCTGAAGGACCTATGAAGTCTGGGCAACGATGACGTGTCAGCGCAGCTTCGTCAGCTGCAACAAATGCACGACTGAGGTACAGCGTGTTGGGTGGGGGAGGCTGTGTGTCGCAGGAGCACAGGGGGCGTACAGGAAATCTCATACCATCCCCTCAATTTTGCTGCGAACCTAAAACTGCTTTTACAGAATTAATGAAGTTTTGGGGCCCCTGGGTGGCTCAGTCAGTGAAGCGTCTGCCTTCAGTTCAGGGTCCTGGGATCAAGCCCCACATTGGGCTCACTGCTCGGGGGGAGCCTGCTTCTCCCTCTGCCTCTGCCCCTCCCCACTCGATTCATGTTGTCTCTTGCTCATTCTGCTTTCTCTCCAAATAAATAAATAAGTAATCTTTAAAAAATAAAAATAAAAGAATAATAAAGTCTTAAAATTTTTAAAAAAGGTAAAAAGTAGCCCCTAAAAAGAAAAATGTAGCCAAAATTTCAGAGCAAGAAATATTACCAGGGATAAAGAAATGTTACTTTGTACATTCACAGAGTCAATTCACCAACAGAACATAAAGATACCAAACATTTATGTGCTTAATAATGGAGTTTCAAAATATATGGAGCAAAACTGATAGAGGAGAAACAGGCAAATCCACATGCAGAGTCACAGATTCCAATATGCGTCCCTTGATAACTGACAGAACATGGGGCCATGAATGGAAGATGTGAAGAACACTATCAAGCAATGTGACCTGACATTTATAAAACAAAGATCTGCAAATACTCATAGCATTTTATCCACAGTAGTCAAAAGTGAAAATAACCTGAATGTTCACCAACAGGAAAATGGATACACAAATTATAGTACATTCGCACAATGGGATACTACTCAATATTGAAAAAGAATACACCATTGATACATGAACAATGCAGATAACTTCTAAAATAAGTATTCGGAGTGAAAGAAGCCAAACAGACACAAAGAATAAGCAGTGTCTGATTCCACTGGCATCAAACTCCAGAAAATGCAAACTAACGAAAGCTCTTATTTAGAATACATAAAGAACTCCTGGGCGCCTGGGTGGCTCAGTTGGTTAAGCGACTGCCTTCGGCTAAGGTCGTGATCCTGGAGTCCCGGGATCGAGTCCCGCATCGGGCTCCCTGCTCGGCAGGGAGTCTGCTTCTCCCTCTCTCACTCCCCCCTCTTGTGCTCTCTCGCTCTCTCACTCTCTCTCTCAAATAAATAAGATCTTAAAAAAAAAATAGAATACATAAAGAACTCCTTCACATCCATAGGAAAGAGACAGATAATCTGTCAGAAAAAACAGCACAGCATTGAACACATATCACAAGAGAAGGTCCAAATGACCAATAAATTTGTAAACAGGGGTTAAACCTCACTAATCAGCAGAGAATTGCACATCACAAACAAGCACCCCTACACACACCAGAAGGCCTCAGACTAAAAGAACCAAGTACAGGTGAGGATGCAGATCAAGTGGAACTCTTACACGGCCTTTGAAGAAGTACAGACCACTACAACCACTCTGGAAGTCTTCTTGGCCTTATCTACCAACCTGAATATACACACTCCCTACGGCTCAGCAGTTGTACACACATGTGTACCAAAAACATACAAAGGAATGCCTGTAGCAGTCAAAATATGGAAACAGAACAAATCTCCCCAAGAATAGAGAGGGTTAAGTGTGGTCTGTCCCTGCAACGGGATACGGTGCAGGGATGGAAATGAACCATGTGGATGAACCCCACAGACATCCTGGTGAGTCACAGAAACCGGCATCAGGCACAACCCCACTCATAGAGTTCAAGCGCGAGCAACACTAGCACACGGCACCAGGAGCTGAAGGTGTGTCAACTTTGGGGAGAAGGGAAGGGAGCACAGGCTGGGACACAGCAGAGCCCAGATGACGCGTACCCAGCTGTGTTCACTTCATCATAATCAAACGATGGCACTCAATATCTGGGACACATTTTTCTAAGTATCTCACACTTCACCAAAAAAGTGAGAGAGATCAAGCTGGACGTCGGAATGCAGGAGCCCATGCATCGGTGTTAAGTCGTGTTGAAGAAACATAGTAAAACCTCTCGTAACTCAATGGGGAAAGATCTAACCATAGATTTCTCTTTAACGATGATGAACAGCTCCTACTACTAGTGAAGTGAGTGCCAATAACATCGAAATTAAAGAAACTTTCAGGCAAACACAGATTGGCCCCACGCGCTGTCATCACTGGTCCTAAACTCCTGAAGCCCAAAATAGAGATAAAAATGATCCCAACACTAAAAATGCTGATAGAATTTACTTTTTCCATTTTGTACAATGAAACCTGCTTTGAAGAGCATTCAGATAATTATACTAGTCATGAAATAACTTTTGAATGAAAACTAAGATTCTGCCATAAATGTAATAAACTTCCTTAAATGTGTTATATTTCAAATCTACAAAAATTGGACTTCTCTTGATTATGTTAACATGAACCTTTTCTGGCTTCTGTTCTTGTTGAGGGAGAACTTTTTTTGATAAGGCGATTCCAGGCAGTGTATTTTCTAGAACTGCGACGTTAGCGGTGTTTGCTTCTCCTGTAGTCGGTACTGGAAGCCCCAGGGCGCAGTTTCAGCCAAACAGCGTCGGAGGGGGGGCAGGGAACCGCAAGGTGCGGCATTCGACCTAAGGAAAAACACACAGCACTTCCACATAGCGGGTAAGAAGGCTCCCCGGCCGCGCTCCACGCGCACAGTGCATTCGCGTCTAAGGGGAAAGCGCAGTAGTGCCCGGCACGCTGGGCACGGCAGGCAGGCTCCTCCGGGGCTCCCGGGCGCTTTTCCGTGACCAGGTCACCGAAACCAGCATCAGTGCAGAGATTCCCCCGTGGGTCTCCCATCTCCAGTCCGAACGCACAGTGTGTGGAGAACCACCACGGGAGGACACTTAATGCAGACATGACGAGCGCGTCACACACACAGAACGTCACGCCCACTTACCCCTCGCCCTCCCCGCTCCCAAGACAAGGGGGAGGACACTACTCAGAGCCCGGAGGCCCCCCCGACACAAGCGCACGCACGCGCACGCGCACAACTGCTCACTGGATCCCGGCTTTCAGATTCAACAGACCCTGGTTCACGGCCCCTCCTCCCACCCAGCACCCCCGCTCAGAGCTGTGGACTGTGCTTCCGCGTGGGGCTGGACAACGGACAGAACAGCACCTCCCAGCGGCGGCCTGCGATGCTGGTCCGCCCTGCACGAGCCCAGCACTAGCTCTGAGGAGTGAACAGAAAGTTATTAGGGACATCGATTACTATTATCAGTGACTCTGAGATACAAAATCATTTCCCACATTTTCCAAGCAAACTGGTGGTAAAGTACAATATCAATCTAGCTCTCCCATTGCTTACCTTGGGTTTGTTCCACTGTTTCACAACATTGTGTCATTAAAATCAATTACCTCAGGTTATATAATCACTGACTCACTGACTCCATCTTACAAAAGCATAAATGAATGAAACATTGACAAAAATAAAAACTGCTTCAGACTTCTGTCCCGCTTCACAGTTAATGACCTCACCCATGTTATGTCTTTATAGACACGTAGCCCTCAAGTCATCCTGATTCTGCTCTTCCCCACGCCTCACTCCAGGCACTAGACCTGAAAAGCTCATCCACAGAATTTGCTGACACAGTCGTGAGCAAAGGGTTTAACTCTCTGGTCCACCATGCTGGTCGAGTGGACTCAGATGACCTAACCATGGTTCACATGCAGGCTTCATAGGGAAAGGGGTGGTCCAGACAGAAGAAGACCAGGTGGCACTGACCAGCAGAGATGGGATGAGGTTAGAAGAGGGAGAAAAAGTCATCGTCCAGGGGGGACAGCCTGCAGTGCTCAGCAATGGACCAAACAGAAGGGCTTCCCCTTAAGCTCAGTTCATAATTGGAGGGCTATTGAAGGTTGCTGAACAAAGCTATTTAGGAAAATGCACATTTCAATCTGGCAGCAATGGGCAAGGTGGTCAGGATCAAGAGGGACTGGGGTAGGCAAGAGAGAGGACCAAGTCCCCAGCTCCACACACAGGGGCTCTGGCTCAGGGAGCCTGCAGAGCAGATGACTCTCAGTTCGATCCTTTCTATCTCCAGATCTCTCTTCATGGCACAACCATGGTCTAGTTTCCAGGGACAAAGGCCTACATGAATGTCAATCCTGTCCTTTCCTGTGCCCCTCATATGCAATCTATACCTAGCCCCGTCTTTCTTCAAGAGGACTTTGGCCCCCAATACCCAAAAGAAAGATCATGCAAATGTACAAAACAATCTAGAACCACCCCCCCAACCCCTGACAGTGGTGAAGATGCCACAGACTTCCCACACCTCTCACTCCTGAAGGGCAGCCTCCCCTGGGCCCGGCAGCACTGTGACTCTCAAGGCCAGCAAATCTCAACTTAAACACAGAGGCTCCCTCCACACCCATCATGCTGGCTTGCTCCTAGCTCTGAGAATAGAGCTGCTTTTTCTCCCCTCGAATGTCTCTCCTGTTGAAGGTGCCTCAAGCTCTCCACTTGCCGGCTGCTCCCCCTTCAGGTCTCAGCTGAGCCAGAGACGCCCTCTGTGTGCCCCTACCACCTCCTTGGCCTTCACACACCCTGACCCAGGTGACCCCTTCAGAGGCAGAATGGGAGGCTGGGGTCAGGGCCCTGGGCTGCAAACCAGCTGCGTGATGCCGGCTCAGACGGCCCAAGTTTCCAGGACCACAGACGGGGAAAGCTCGCTGGGGGCTTTCCAGCTGAGCAGGTGGCATCCCGCGTAAAGCCTCCGGGCCACCTGACAGAGGGTTGGGCCCCGCAGTACACAGCACCTGGGCGCTGGGCAGTCGGCCATAATCACTTTCCAGCTCAGGTGCAGTAGTCACGATTGAACAAGACAAAGGAGACCAACAAAAATATCTACCCAGGCTATTCTATTGGAAAACAACCCAGAAGAGAAGTTAGTAAGCATTCCAGTAGAAGACCTGACTAGAAACCCTTATTTTAGCATCTGTAAGGCCAAGATACCAGGCAAGCAGAGAGATTAAGTGATAAAGTTCTCAAAATACAGTCAGAGGACTTACGCTCCATCATCTCCCACAAAACAAACGTTCTCTGTTATAACAAATAAGAGGCAATTTTTATAGACTTGAAAATTCTGCAACAATCTGGAGAAAAAATAAAAGCATTTTGAATATTTTAATGCACAATCTTCTCCAATTCATGCATTCGGTTTTACTTATTATTCTTGCAACTGCCAAGACATGGCAGGGAGTTTCATATAAAAAATAGCTGAATGTTTTAAAGCTACCATGATTTGCTTTGTAGGTTTTACCATTTTAAAGGATCCAGTGCCTAGCACCGTGGCCAGGATGTAGTTGGTGATGAGGGGAGTGTCCCAGATGGACACAATGAAATCACTGTGTGGCCCCTCCAAGTACTTCCCGAAACATAAAATATTGTAAGAAACATGAAAGAATATATCAAAAACTATAATTGTTTAAAAATTTTTAAGAATCTACCCATTGAATAGATAAGGAAGATGTGGTATATATATGTAAATGGCATACTACTCAGCCATCAGAAAGAATGAAATCTTGCCATTTGCAACAATGTGGATGGAACTGGAGGGTATTATGCTAAGTGAAATAAGTCAGTCAGAGAAAGACTGATATATGATTTCACTCATACTTGAAAAAAACAAATTAAGAAAAAAAAGAGACACCCCCCCCCCAAAAAAAAACCACTCTTAAATACAGAGAAGAAACTGGTGGTTGTGGGGGAGGTGGCTGGGGGATTGGGGGAAACAGATGAAGAGGATCAAGGGCACACTTATCCTGATGAGCACTGAGTAATGTATAGAAATGTTGAATCATTATATTGTACACCTGAAACTAACATAACAGTGTATGCTAATTACACTTGAATAAAAAATATTTTTAAAAGAAAAAAGCACTACTTTGAGTAAAATTCTTACATTTTCATGAGAACTAGAAGACATATAAAAATTTAAAAAAATAAAAAAAGAATCCACCCATCAAACTGTTATTAAATCTTGTATTATTCCTTCAACGTAAACTTATATGCACCAAGAACTGTCTTAATCTCTTCTCTAACTCCTATAACATTCAGCACCATGATTTGCAAAGAATAGAATCTGTACACCAATTTACAATTTAAAAATCATTTTCATACATACTAACATGCAGATTTGGGTATATCAATAAATACATTATATCATTCAATACTTACAACAACTCTTTAAAGTTGTTTGTTAAATGTTTGTTCCATTTTACAGGTGGAAACATAGGAGGTGTCAGTAAGTGGTGAAACTCCCCATTTCTGACTCCTCATTCCTGGTACCTCTGCCATGGCATACCCAGAGCGGGGCCACAGGTGACCTCACAGCTCCACCCACCTAAGAAAGCAGCAGCAGCGCAGGGAACCTGTGCAGGGCCAGTGGCTTCACAAGCAAACAGCTTTGCATGAGCCGCCTGCTCAGCCACTCACTGCTGCTCGAAGTGGCCTGGCAAGTGTACCAACACCCACCGGCCTCTGCTGGTGACCGTGCTCGGAGCTGCCCGCAGACAGAGGACATCTAACCCCTTCGCACGAAACGTGTGCTGTCCTGCTGGCCGTTACCTGGACACAGGTAAGTTACCCCTAGAGCTCTGAGCTGCCGGCCATCCCAAATGACTTCCACCCACAGGCTGCTGGAAATCCGTGCCGAGGCAGGAATCTCTGGACAGAACTGAAGAGTAACGGGGTAGAGGAGGAAGGAGTATGACCTTCAGCTATGTGAAACACATTGTTCTAATTGGTCAGGGACAGCTAGATAACCATTTGGGAAATAATACCAAAAACAATTAAATTTCAGATGCCTTACAGGTTACAAAGTACTATTAACAATTTAAAAACAAAAACCAGAGAAAAATCTGCAAAAATAACGGAAAGAACTAACATCCTTAATATTTAGAGAGCTATAACAAATATATGAGAGAAAGCTTAAAACCTCAATAGAAAAAAAATACAAACTACAGAGGAGCAATAAAAATGCACAATAAACATCATCCTCAACAGGGAAAAACTAAGAGCCTTTCTCCTAAGGTCAGGACTCTGACAGGAATGTCCACTCTCATTGGTTTTATCCAACACAGGACGGGACGCATAGCCACAGCAATCAGACAAGAGGAAGGAATAAAAGGCATCCAAACTGCTAAGAAAGAGGTGAAACTCTCACTCTTTGCAGATGACATGATACGGTATATAGAAAGCCCTAAAGACTCCACCAAAAAACTGCTAGAAATGACAAATGAATTCACTAAGGTTGCAAGATACAAAATCAATATACAGAAATCCATTGCATTTCTATCTACTAATAATGAAGCAGCAGGAAGAGAAATTAAGAAAACAACCCCATTTATAACTGCATCAAAAACAATAAAATATCTAGGAATAAACCTAACCAAAGAGGTAAAAGATCTGTACTCTAAAAACTATAAAACACTTATGAAAGAAACTGAAGATGACACAAAGAAATGGAAAACATTCCATGCTCATAGACTAGAAAAACAAATATTGTTAAAATGTCTATACTACCCA